TATTCTTCCATCCTCCACATCCCTATTTCTTCTTAGTCCTTGCAATTCAGAACAAATGTGGTAACCACATCCGGTATCGAGGACCCAAGAAATAACATGAGATGAATGACTAGATTTAATTGTATATATACCTGCGAAAGACGGCTTGATCTTTCCTTCCTTGATAGCTTGCAGGTACTCTGGGCAGCGTCTCTTCCAATGCTCTATTTTGTGGCAATGGTGGCCCTCTGCCTCCTTTGGGTTAGATGTAGGCTTAACGGGATCAACTTTTGTCCCACTAGAAGTGGAAACATCTCGGGACTTTCCCTTGTGGTGGCTCTTAGATGGAGCCATCCTCTTCTTGCCTCTTCCTTGCCCAATGGCCAAAACAGGAGCAACAGGTGGATTGGGAGTAGGTGCAACGGACTTGTCCTTGAGATTGCTCTCAGCAACCCTAAGGAGACCTTGGAGCTTGCTTAGGGTGACCCCTTCCTTATTCATGTGGTAGGTCATCCTAAATTGATTGTAACACAGCGGCAAAGAGTGAAGCACCATGTCAATCACCAAGTCTTCCCCAAAGTCAACATTTAACTTGCAAAGTCGATCGACATACCTTTGCATCTTTTGCAGATGCATGGTAAGAGATTCTCCATGACCCATTTTGGCGGAAATCATGCTAGTGAAAATCTCGCAACGCTCTTGCCTCGCGTTTTGGTGGTATCTCTCCAACACGTCTTGGTGCATTTCGTACGGATACATGTCCTCGTAGGACTTTTGGAATTCGGAGTTCATAGTGGCTATCATGATGCAATGAACCTTCGTTGCATCACGCTCATGACTTTCAAAAGCGGTGATTTCAGCCCCGAGTAGCGATTTCAGGATTGATCTTCTCGAGCTTCTCATCGAGGACATACTCCTTGTCCTCGTAGCGAGCGATCGTGCGAATGTATCTTATCCATTCGCTAAAGTTCGTTCCATCGAAAGTCACCTTTTGGCAAAGGCTCATCAATGTGAACGAGCAAGCAGCAGTGTTGTTTGCGTTCGACATCTACAAGGACAAAGATAGATTAGAATATGAATCCCTAATTATCACCCAATAAGAAAAATTAGGGCTAGGATCCAACAACAATATTTACACATTAGAAAAGGGATGTCGTAATCCAACATGCAAGCAATTTGAAGGTAAGTGAATGACGATTCACTAATTCTCCATCATGAAAACATAACTTTAAGTTCTAAATGCATTGAGAATTCCTAGGTTTGGATGAGATTCATTGAAACCTTTCAATGGCATGTTTAAATCTCGATATGCCCCTCTCGTTTGTGACTGGGATACCGAGGATCACAAAGTGGGTGTGAATTACCATGCAAATTCACATGGTGCCTTCATTGTAACAATCACCTATTCGATGTGCCGGTAAACCACACACGCTCCATTGAACTATGATAAACAATGAACCACCGTTTGCCACCTTCGCTTAGAACCAATTAGTGTGCCGGTAAACCACACACGCTCCACTAACTTCTTAGGAAGGTGCAAAGTGTAATTTTATGGGATTGCATCAATTCACTTTTCCTAAAGTAACTAGGATTGGGAAATTTTTTGATAGCCATGTAGTTACTTTGTATTTCATATTATACTTTTAATGAGATGATGAGGTTGCCCTATCCTACCCGTTCGGCTAACGACCCTCCACCAATCAAGCAAGCGGTGGGTGTGAGTGTACACCCATTAAGCGTCATTTTATAGGCAGCAACCTTATACCCACCTTATAGACTGGCTTTGTGAATGAGGCCTACTAACGGTAAGACTAGCATATTAATTATACATACATACATACATACATACATATATATATATATATATATATATATATATATATATAAAAACTTGTAATAATATAATAGTATAGGGTGTATTTTAAACATTTCAAAATACTAGGTTTTAAATTTCCAATTTAAAATTTTTCGAAATTTAATACCATTAAAATTTTAAATATTAAAACTCTTGATTTAATAATTATCACAAATTAAACTATCAATTTAAATTATTAAATCATAAGGGATTATCTAAATCGTGAGGATAGTTACCATTTAAACAATTAACTTATCCTAATCCCTTTTATCCCTCTAAATTTCGAAAATAATCGGATGGGGTAATTCAAAATCTTTAATTACCATATTTAACAATTAAAAGATAATTACAAGATATGGGATTATCCAAATCCCTAAAATTTAGGATCTTATCTTGGGGAAGGAGGCAAATCTCGAAATCTAAGGGTTTGCAAACCCTAGATTTCGAAATCTTGGATTAAAAGGAAAGGTTTCAAAAACCCTTTCAAGATTTTCACAAATTAGGGTTAGGAAACTCTAATCTCGAAATCTATGGCCTCCTAGGGTTTATTGGCTATAAACCCTAATTTTTCAAGTTCATACAATTGAATAATACTAATTGAAAACAAGTTAACCAAAGGCTCTGATACCATTGATGGGTTTTATACAATCAATCCTATGTGTGCATGCAACCCTAGATTTGGATCTATGTTTTTCTATTAGCACTACAAGAAAAAGACCCTTTTACAACGCGCTAACCACGACACTCATTGATTTATGTTACGCAAAAGAGAGTGACATTAAAAACGTGTCGTCTTTTCAAAAAAATTAAGGATCTATGTCATGCATTATTGCATGCCCTTAGATTAGTGTCTCATGTAAAAAAAAAAAAAAAACACGGAGGGCACTTTATCTAATATGTGCGTCCTCTGTGAATGTCGCTTTATGTTTTACTCAAAACGCACGTTCTTGAAAGGGGGAAATGAAATCCCAAAAAATTAAAACCCCGCCTATTCCATGTGAAAAATTAGAACCCACTCCTCTTCCAATTAGCAAGAAAGAAGCATAAGGTTTTCATCTTCCTCTCTCTCTCTCTCTCTAACCTACTACCCAACTTGCAATTTCATAGAGATTGTTATTACGATTTAAGAAGCAAAGAAGAAGACAAGCAAGCATATAGTACTACTAAATTCCACAAAATCGTAGGGACTAGGGCGTTTTTTTCAAGAACGGAAACACTTGGTGCTCTCTGGCCTCTGCAACAATTGATTGATGATCTTGCCTCACCTCGCAGGCAACATCTTTGCTCACTTCTCCTCCAACGACCTTAGGGGTATTTTCCTCCGGCGACCTCGGGCTCATGTGACCTCGTCGGAGACTACTCAAATTTCCACACCCTAGCCCAACTAAGATATGCTTTGGTTATTCACTCTTCCTAATGTTTTTGTTCTTCTATTTATTTAATTTCTCCTCTACTCATAGCTTTGATTTCGATTTTGGATCTTCTCATCTTCTCCTGTGTAAAACCCTAACTGAAAAACTATGCATGTTTCAATGGCGATTCCTCCTCATTCCACGATCCTGACTTCTACTCTCTAAGCATCTCAGGTATGCTTTGTTCCTTCTCCCTTATTTTAATTCCTTCTTGTTTGATTTCTTAGGTGCAATATCCTTCCCCCTACTTTTCTGATTCTCGATCCCATTCTGATACATTGTTAGCAGTCGCACATAGCACCTCACACACATACTCACATTTAATATTTTGAGCATAAATTCGAGTATATGTTATGGTCTGATGAATTTTTTGTGTGTTTATCTTATCCAGGGTTTGAAATTTTTGTATTATGCTAAATTAAATCTATCATGTTGTTACTTTATGAGGTTTTATGTTTCTTTTATCACAGTGATTATTAAAGCAAGTAGTGGCCCAAGGTATGTGGTCGGTTTCATAACTGGTTCAATTTTGATGAGTAAACAAGTTAGATTTCATATGGTTGTTTGTTTAGATTGGTATTCATCCTGATTTTTGTTCAATTATGCAACAACTATGATGGAATTTGCTATGTTCCATACTCGCATTATGAATTTATCGGAAAATTGAATAATTAATCTGGAAAAATACCATCTTTGGATGATTTGTTTGTCATCTGTAGATAAGGAGGTAATTAGTTTATCCAGCAAAATCTAATCTTCATATTCTTTGTTTGTTTAAAAAGTAATCCATATTGAAGTTGGCGTTAGGGTTTGGATGTTTCAACTAATCATATTTCTGAATTAGCCCCTGTCAATAAAGAAAAATCACGAAAGATTAAAGGGTTCAGAAAATCATCAGAAGTGGCTTTGTTATTCTAGCACCTAAAGTCTTCAAAATCTTGGAGAAACCTGTTCATGAGTTCCATGGACATGGTGGAGAAATCTTGTCCCTTTCATGGTCTAGAAAAAGGGTTAGTAACTTAGAATTATAACACTTTATTTATATTGGAATTAATAATGGACATATACTTCATTTTCCTTGTTATATTAAACAGGCGATGGATGATATTAAAACCTCAGAAATATAAAAATTCTACATTCAGGTAGTTGTTTTCTTGGAATACCACCCTTTTATTTCTTGCCTTTCTTTTGTATGTCGATTTCTTTATTAAAAGTTACTTTGTTGAAGGGTATTTATGACATTTGACTGATAGTCAAACACTCCGAGATTAAAATGCTCATTTTTTTTTTACCCGAGACTAATCTAAAGCTTCAAGAGTCTAGTTTACCAAACATAAAAACTAAACTAAAAGCTAGTTAAAAAACATTTATATTTACAACGTACTACAATAGTCTACATTACCCTTGCTAGTCTTCTCTTTTTCTCTTCTCTACCACATTACTTTTTGCATATATAACATCATCCAATTCTTCAAGGGCATGATGGTCATCTTATCTGTTTTCATGCTATGTTTTACTTACTCCTCTTATGTTAGTGTTTCATCATGTTGTTTTTAAATATAACAAGTGAATTGAAGGGCATAATCGTCATGTTATCAGTTTTTAGTGGCTTTTTGACTTAATTTGGCATAAATGCCACTCTTTACCGGTTTTGAGTTCAATGGAATCTAAACCTGAACCTAATCTAAAAGGCTTCTATCTTAATTTAGGAGATAATTCCTAAATAATATGAAATGATATTTATCTCCCAGGAAATGGATTTATCTAATTTAGGAAAAATATTTTTCTTTTATGCTGTCAAGCTTGCGGATTTGTGGCCAAAAGGGAGCATGAACAACCATGGAATACAAAATGCAATTTGTAGAGCCAAAGAACGTCGAAGAACACTATTGCAAGAAAAGGTTTGCAGCTCTTGTTAATTTATAATTATTTTATCCAAGGGTATTTTAGACTTTTGACACATAGTAGATGTTAGTTTAAACGTTGCAATTTTATATGGAATTTATCACGAAGTCTCATTATCCAGTCTACATGATTAAATTAATGGACATATAATTCTCTATTGATTGAACAAAAAACATTGCTTTGTAATGAACCGAGTTAAAAATCGAAAGGGTATATCTGGGAATAAAATTGAAGGTAGGTTTGTCAAGATTGTACGGATAACTGTTGATTGGATAAAAGTCTTTTGATCATGTTCAGTGGCATGAAAAGAAGCCTACTGCAGGGCTGGATAGCAATCTCCATGAAGAAGCTGACTTAGTTGCTGAACATGGAAAACCGGTAAATGACCATAACACCCCTGAGCTAAATTTTCCGGACACTGTTGTCCCTGGCACGCCTGAACTTGATCGGAAACTTGATGCACCTGCAAAAAGGTTCAGCCCACCATCATCAGGGGATTGCTGAGTTGTATAGGACACTACCCGTGAAACTGTATATAAATGGTAGCGTTTATGTGACCATAATGCCCCTGTTCTAAGATGTTTTAACCTCTCAAATGTGCATGAATCTGTTGACCGGTTATGGTGGTTCCATGTTTACTGTGAAGATGATGTATAGTGTTTTATAGGTATATAAGCTCACCTTTTTCTCCGTGTTATTAGCTCTGAGTCTAGTATTTATCTTATTAGCAGGCTAAACCCTGTAAGAGTCTGTGGGTAAGTGGCATCAGCAGTTCCCTTTTAACAATATTAAAATAAAAAATGGAAAACACGAAAGGAGCTTTTGTGGGTGTAAAAAATATATTGCATATTTTATCCTGTTTTGACTATGGCCTCTGTATATGAATGATATAACAAGACCAGGGTCCTCATTTCCGTGATGCAAAGGATGGAAAACATTTCAGAATTATGGGTCCATATGATTCACCATGGTTGGCACCAGATAGTGGTAAAAATTACCCTGATTCTTCATATTATCATCCCAAAAGGCAACAGGTTATAACCTAGTTCTATTTATGCCCTTTTTGCATTTAACTTAGGATATGGTATCATCTTTCTGTTTTTGCATTTTTGTTTATTGCAATTATGGGCTATTTTTGTCTTCTACCAGTTATGGGGATTTATTATTATTATTATTATTCCAATAATGGTGTATTTTGGTCTTTTAATTAAAAAAGAATGGAATCAAGTACCTTTCAGGAATTGTGAACATGGAATAATATGAAGGGAATTTTGTTGATTTGCAATGAAACACGAAACGGAATGGAATAATTTACATCCTTTGTGGTGTTTTTACAGCCTAATTTATTTATGGAATCTAACATTGTTTTTTCTTTGCTATCTGTATTCACTATCATTGGTAACTTTTTTTACTTTTCAATTGATAATAGTAATCAGTTTGTCAAAAAATATAATCAGATAGTGATGTTGATGATGATACAGGAATTAGTTTATCAACATAGTTTATTTATGGAATCTAAACATAGTTTACTGTGGGTGCTGGAGTTGGTGGTGGGAGCTCTGGAAACAAGATGCCAACTATAGAGGAATATGGTACCAATTTCACAAAGCTAGCAGAAGAGGTGCTTCTTTCAATGTATTAACAACAGTGGTAAGTAAAGTCTTAATATTATGAAACTCTTTTGCTTAAACGTATCTTATTGACTTGTAGCTGATTAAACATTAATTTAATTATGCAGGATTTGAAGTTTTTGATGGAAAAGATTAGTGTTAATGCTCTTCATAGAAAAGTATGTTGGTATTTTAGGAAATTTGGCTAATAATGTAGTTAATTATCTAAAAAATGTATTACATCGCTGTCACATTTGTTGATGACTTTCATCGCTTTCACATATGATTATTTGTATGACATTACTTTCTGTGCAATGTATTGTATTTTTTGTATATGGTATTTTATTTTCTATTATGAGACATGAAATGCAAATATAAATTGAAAATTAGTAAATATATAAATAATTTTTTTTATAAAAAAATTAAAATTACGATACGCAAAAATGTGTGTCGTCTTCATTTCTGACATAGCCTTTCTTGACAGCTGCTTCAATGATACGCATTGTGTGTCATAAATGTGTGTCGTAAATGCGCGTCGTAAAAGGCTGTTTTTCTAGTAGTGTAGATACATAACATTATGAACACAAGAATAAAACCCTAAAGAACAAGGCTATTTTCGAAATTAATATACAAGGTTAGATTACATACCTCTTGTTGTTATATTGCAATAACAACTTAAATCTTCAAACCCTAAGTCTTAAAAGCAAGCACCACAAGTGTAGTGCCTCTAATGGCTCACAAACACCACAATCAATTAGAGAGGCAATAGAAAGAGAAAGGAGGAGGTGGAAATCGTCCTTGAGACTTCTTAGAAGCATGTACACGAATTCCCAAGGCCTAGGCGTCTTTATATAGGGTTTAGATTAGGGTTTCAGTCCTTATCCTTATCCAGTTACTTGCCCACCAAGCAACCACAAGATAAGCCTTGAAAACCCTTATCTTTTGGACCTTGGACGATTTTAAGGATATCCTTATCCTTGAATTCGTCCATCCTTAAACAAGGATAACCATTGCCCTATTTTGCAACTATCACTTAATTACAATTCAGCCCCTATAGTTTAATTAATTACACTTGATCACAAAATTAATTCCTAATTAATTATTGGCCAATTTTAATTAAACAAATATGATTTCTCCTTTAATATATTATTCTTATAACGTATTAATAAATCATAATAACCTATTTCTCTATTTATTTCTCTAGCCAAGTTGCTTTGGTGAAGGCAACCCAAAAGGACCATGCACAATCGGTTCAAGTACTTGCCTAATATAGTTGCAGCCTTAAACACTATTCCAACACTGGGAACTATTCCACCCCCTACCACTAGCATACAACATCAAGATATAGACATACAATCCGGCATATCTGGGTACTGACCTACCCTTCGGTCCTACGGACCATTGTCAAGGAACTGATTCCTACTATACACATAACATATCATATAGATAAATGTCATAACCAAGGCACATAACTAGACCAAAATAATTATCACAAAGACAATAATCTCCTAAATATTCCTCTTTGGTGGGCCGGCGTTGTGGCCGTAGACCCGCCGCTACTAGAAGGTAACTCACCTCGTATGAGTAGTTGTTGATAATTTGTGCGGGAAACCTCTATCTGCTACTGCTCTGGAAATCCTCCGGCTATAATACCCACAAAACACTCAGTCAGAAAATGATACCTACTCTTAGGGTAAAATGACTATTTTACCCCTAACCAAGTCCAAGTTAAAGTCAACTTCCAGTTGACCCGACTCGCCGAGTTGGGCCGTCAACTCGTCGAGTCATTACCCTTTACCCATCCTTATCCATGACTCAACTCGTCAAGTTTGGCAACGACTCGAAAAGTTCGCCTTCTTTACGAACATCAATGAACCTTCATCCGACTCTCCGAGTTATATGAACAACTTGTCGAGTTCATCATCATCTGATGAACAAGTCCTGACCTTGACTCGCCGAGTTGTATGAACAACTTGTCGAGTTCATCTTCAACCATAAGAAGATTGCCTTGGACTCGCCAAGTTTGTCCTAGCACTCGTCGAGTCCCATGAACTACAGGTCTAAAACTAAGTCCAATGCATTGGGTCACTCCTTCTATCCTTCTGCAACCTTTCTAACACCCAATTAAGTTCTTTTGACCCTTAACAGATATGGGACTCAAAGCCTTGGACTCGTCGAGTCCCAAGAATGGACTCGCCGAGTCGATAACTTCCACACTCTAAATCCTCGATTTCTAATGTACAACACTTATCCAAATGATAGATCCAAGCCCCTAAGCTCGATCTAGCACATAAAGTTACGAACTTTACATGCATGCATGGTGCTTTTGAGCCAAAAAGGCTCTAAAATGGTTCTTTTGTTGCATGAGGCCTTCCTTGGGTGCAAAAGCAACCCAAATCTGCCTTGTGACTCTTCTCAAGTGCTAGATTTGAAGTTTTGACCCCCAACCATGTTTGCAAATCATGGTTGGTCACCTCATATAGCTTAAAAGCCCTAAATCTTCCACAAAAAGGGATCTAACAAATAAACAATCAAGGTACAGACTTTATGCCTTCCAAAGACTACAATTGATGAACCAAACTCGAATCCTTCAGCCTCCTCTTGATCCTTCTATGTTCCTCCTTCTTCCTTGAGGTCAAAACCCACTAAAATCACTCAAAAGCCTTAAATCTTGCACAAAAACACTTAGGGTTTGCTATTGAGAGTCTTTGGGAGCATTAGGGACGAGTGGTGGTTGAAAGAGATGATTAAATGGGGTGAAAACCCTCAGATTAGGTTTTTGTCCAGTTAGAGCGTACTTGTCGAGTCTGGCCGCGGACTCAACGAGTCCATCACTTAAGTCATGTGTCCAATCCCACTCCTACTCAACGATTTAGGCCTTCAACGCGCCGAGTCCCATACCAAAAGTGCAAAATACAACAAAATAAATTACATACCAGGAACCGAGTGCTACACGTTGCTAGCCCCTCCTGCCGCTACAAGACCACCACACCTTCCCCCAAAACCTCCAAAACCGGCAACCCTTGAGCTCAATTCCGAAATTGCCCACATTCAAGGTCAAATTCTTGCTATTTTCTGTTATTTTTCTGTTTTGGTGCTATGTTGGATCATAAATTGTTAGTAATTTTGAGATAAGAAGTGTTTGTGCATTTTGTTGGATTGTATGCATTTTGTAATTTTTGTTTATACCACCTGTGCTGTTGCTCCATCCATCCCATTTTAATCTCTTGATTTGTTTATAGATCACCAATAAACGCAAGACCATTCTTATTTTTTTTCTTGCTTCTTATTTGCGCATGAACAACGAGGAGGAATCAGGAGGTATCAAACCTCCGGATTTAACCAAACTCCATCACAATATATATATATATATATATATATATATATATATATATATATATATATATATATATATATATATATATATATATATATATATATATATCATCAGCCCCTCAACTTTTGAATTGTAAGGTATTGGTCCCTTGCTCTAAAAAATAATTAAAAATCTAGTTGTAAACACAGAAACTTGAATTAAAATCTTCAAAGTTTACCTTATTATGGAAAAATCCTTTCATTTGAATCCAAAGTTTTAAGGTAAAATTTCATAAATTTATTTATCTTATTTTATAATATTGATTTATATTAGATTAAGTAAGCCTTTGATTATTTAATTTTTTAGAAATTATTAATCATATTTTTACTTAAATAAATTTCAGATTAAATTAAATTGTTAGTAATTTTCAATTTTGTTGAGTGATTATGTTTATATTTCGAGACAAAAAAGTGTTTGTGCATTATGTTTGATTGTATGCATTTTGTTGGAATATTGTACGCTTTTTCAAATATGTGGGAAGTTTTTATGCATTTTCTGTATGCTTTTGTAATTTTTGT